GACTATCCCATATCTCTTCCTCATCCCCACGATCAAAATCAGGGCAGTCTAGTCTCCAGACCCTGTAGCAGCCTTCCAAAGCCTCCTTCCCCCTCAACGACAGTGTTTTATATATAGTGGATAATGATTTATCTAGTCCCTCAGTGCGCAGCAGAGACTCTATCCTAGAAATGAATAATGTTAGCCCACCCCCCGGGAATTGCGTATGAAAAGCGTGTCGTAATTGGAGATATCTAAAAAAGTGGCTATTTGGTAGCGAAAACTTAGACCTGAGGTCCTCAAAGGACTGCAACTCTCCCTCCTGCAGAATGTCGTTTATGGTAAGGATCTTCCTAGATGTCCACACTACAGGGTCCAGAATGGACAAGAATTGACTAAGGCGAGGGTTTTTCCACAATGGCGTATGCGGGGAGAGGGACACTCTAGGTCCCTCCACCCTCCCCCCCACTGCATCCCATGCCATTATCACCGCCCTCATGGAGGGCGTCTGACGGTGCGGGGAGTGTCTGCCCCTGTATACCAAATGCCCCAAGGCTTCGTAGGATCCCACCAAGGCGGCCTCAAGAGTAACCGCAGGGTTCGCATCCCGCACCGTGAGCCACCTGTCTGCAAGTGTTAGTTGACCCGCCAGAAAATAGGTGTAAAAATTTGGAGCCGCTAGTCCTCCCTCCCCCCACGGCAGCTGCAAGACTGATAATTTAATTCTACGTGCCTTCCCATTCCAGAGGAACTCTGACACCAGGGCATCAATGGTTCTAAAAAAACGTTTCGGTATCCACACCGGGGAATTACGCAGAGTATAAAGGAGCAGTGGCAGCAGTTTCATCTTAACTAGATTTACATGTCCAATCAGGGATAGGGGGAGGTTTTTCCATATTAAGAGCCGACTTTAAAACTGAGCAATCACTGGGGAGACATTCAGCGCCACAAAGTCTGACACGGAGTTGGACACAGTCATACCTAAGTACTTAAACCTGGCAACCTGTTGCAACTGTGTAGTAGACACAATCAATGCGTGGTCTAATGGGTCTAATGGGAGGTATTGGGATTTACTCCAATTGACTGACAGCCCCGAGTAGGTGGCGAATCTCCGCAAAATGCTTAGTGACTCCATAAGTGTATGTTGCATATCAGCAAGGAACAACAGCATGTCATCCGCATATAAAGCCACCTTTTCCTCCAGCCCGCCTACTTTCAGACCCCGGATCCCCGCGGACTGTCGTATGGCAGACGCAATGGGTTCGATCGCCAAAGCAAACAGTCCGGGGGATAACGGGCATCCCTGTCGTGTGCCCCGCAGTATCGGAAAACCTTGTGACAGCATCCTACCCATCTTTATTGCGGCTCTAGGCTGACTATACAAAACCCTGATCCACTTGCAGAAAACAGGGCCGAATCCCAATTTGAACAGAACCGCTTGCAAATACTTCCAGTCCACCAAATCGAAGGCCTTCTCAAGGTCCAAGGATACGATAGCTCTAGCTCCTGGGTTATCATGTATAATTTGGGTGTGTGTATACAGTCGTCTAAGATTAATGTCTGTAGATTTTTGAGGGATAAATCCAGTTTGGTCCGGGGCAACAACACTGGCAATAACTTTGGACAGTCTAGTGGCAAGAATTTTAGTTAGAATCTTAAGATCCATATTAAGGAGCGAGATTGGTCTATATGAAGAGCATAGGAGTGGGTCTTTATTTGGTTTAGCTAGGAGAACCAAATGAGCATCATACATGGATTGGGGGAGGACCTCTGCCGTCAAACAGGCCTCATATAGGCTCTTAAGCCTAGGCACCATATCATCAGCCTATCGTTTGTACCATTCCGCCGGAAACCCATCCGGGCCCGGGGATTTGTTATTCGGGAAGGAACCAATAGCCATCAGGACCTCAAGCTCCGTAAAGGCACCCTCCAGGGACTCCCTATCTACATGTGTCAGCTTGGGCATGTCTATTGAATCCAAGAGTGCACCCAAAAGATCTACATCAGTCGGGAAGCTGCTGGTACAAAGCCTTGTAGAAAGCGACAAACTCCTGAAGGACATCACCCGGATCAGTTTTCATTGAACCATCTGAGGCTCGAATACATGGAATCACTGTCTGCGCCCTCTGATCTGCTACCAGCATCGCCAGCAGTTTCCCATTCTTGTCACCCTTCTCATATAGAGCCTCCCTCTGCCCATTAATCATTACCTGTGTTACAGATTCATGGTGCAATAAGATCTCCCTGTGGACCCCCAACAAGTCGCGAAGCGTATCCGGGGATGGAGCCATCGCATGAGCTGCAGCGGACTTGGCCTCCCTAACCTGTAGCTGAGAGAGGTCGAACCGGGATATACACATTGACCAATGCAATAGATTGTGACTGGTATTCCAATATCACTACCACATATCTACCCTCAGGGTCAGTTATCACATGGTTAAATCACACATGGAAAATGTTTGTGCAGTAGAATAGTCACCCCTCTTGCTCTCTGCCACCCCGAGGACGGGCCTCGGTGGTCTTGTTGGGAATCGGGCCTGAATGCTGTGCATGTTATCTCAGCTCGCAGAGTTTTGATTCACTGAATGAGTTTACCAAAAAATGTACCGTATATACTCAAGTATAAGCCGAGTTTTTCAGCCCATTTTTTGTGCTGAAAAATGCCCACCTCGGCTTATACTCGGGTCAGCGTCTCGAGCACTGAGCAAAGTGAGTACGCTGGTCAGATTTCTTCTTACTTACCTCGCCGAGCGTCGCGTCACTGCTTTGCTAATATGAATGGGTTAAATGATCCGTAGTACATGATATGTAGCCCTGTACCCCCTTTTCCACTTACAGAGCTAGGTTATTGTTTTTCTTTGAAATAAATATTCATGTAATTTTATTGGTATCTATCTTCATTTTGTACATTTACCAGTAGCTGCCTCATTTCCCACCCTAGGCTTATACTCGAGTCAATATTTTTTCCCAGTTCTTTGTGGTAAAATTAGGTACCTCGGCTTATATTCGGGTCGGCTTATACTCGAGTATATACAGTAAATATTGCAGAATATAAAGCCTCACATAACTAAGCTCTATTTCATGCTGAATAAACTGAATTATTAATGTATCTTAAATAGAAAACTATCTTTAGATAGATTTTTGCTCCAAAAGCATTTTCTTAAAATAAATTTAATAAAAATAAAAAATCTGATTTCAATTTAAAAAAATCGGATTTAAATAATAAAAAATCAGATATTTTTGGATTAGAAAAAAAATAAATAATCGATTTCTATCCACCCTGTGCTGCATGGAGGTGCAGCTATTCATGTGTCACCAGGAAAGGTAAACACAGCTTGGGGAAACCATACAGAGCAGTAGCTTCCTCACACGTGCAGGAACAGCAGGACCCTGTGGTTGCCCCTGTCAGCCTGGATCTTGTGCCTGGTTTTCATCTAACTTTAAAACGGGGCACAAGACTCCAAACTCTTGTTTTTATAATACGTCTTTACACAGAATACACACCGAGTGAATGACCATTGGCATGCGTATGTTTGGTTCTTATTTGATGTTCTGTTTGGGTGAAATTATTTTGTAATGTTATAGACCGGGACGTGCGGTGAGGACAGTGGCTGGTGAGGCACTGGCTAGTATGAGAGCCAGATATCCACAAGTTACATATTCGATTCTCATTATGGAGGTGATTGTAGTTCCACTATTTATACTCATTTAACACAAACTATAATGTACACAGCGTGGTCTTACTGTGATATTTACAAACACTTTCCTTTTTAAGATTTTTTTTTTTTTTTAAGCTGGAAACAATATTACTGGAATAAATGACAATAAAGATTGTAAAAATAAATAAATAAGTCCCTTTTATTTTCTAAAAATACAAATATACATAAACTTAAAATGGAACGTTTGCAAAAAGAAAAGCAAGGTTTCTAAATCTGCCAAACAACAATGGTGGAGTTTCGGGTTATTCACTAAAGACTGAATCGCAGGAGAAATGAAAAACATCCTAATTTGCCTAGAGAGCTGCCTCTGGCCATAGGCGGAACTCCCGCCGGTGCGGCCGCCCCGGGGCCCAAGGCAGTTAGGGTGCCCACTGAGGTCCGGTCCCCAACTTCCACTCTGTTGAGAGGAACACTGGGAGGGGGACTGAGCGGGTAACCCTAAAAACGGCCGCGGCAATCAATCTTCTCAACGCTCTCCTCTCATTGAAAGGAGAGAGCTGAGAAGAGTGATCGGTAGACTTGTGCGGCGTCAAAAAATTTGTTCCGTTTCGTTCCGTAATATCCATTATTTCGTAATTCGTATCCGAAACTCAATTCGGATTCGTACGAAATACGGATTTGCGTTAGTTTTGGCACATTTTCGTAACTTTTTTAATATTCGTTATGATGAAGTTAAAAAGCAAAAATACCTTTGTTAATATTGGAGTCGATGTGGTAGTTGTTTTTTTATCCTAAATACAAATTCCGTTAACGGATTCCGTATTCGAATTTCGTATTAAAAAAAACTACCATCAACTCCAATATAAATGTACTTTGCTTTTTAACTTCAATATAACGAATGTTCGTAATGGAACGAAAATACGTCAACGGAATTTCGTATTTCCTGCCTGTGTATTGTATTGTAATGCAACCCTCAGCAGCAGCGGATCCGTATTTCGGATTTAAAAAAAATCTTGTCATGTTTTTCAACCTCATTTACAGGGGTAATATTAGTTCCTGTTTCAAATAAATTCGGATCCGAAATTCGTTAACGGAATTTCGTATTTCGGACATAAATTCGGAAACTGCCATTCGGATTTCGTATGCTTACGAATCTACGAATTTCAGGAAAATTCGTACGAATTTCGATTCGTAACGAAACGAATCGCACATGTCTAGTGATCGGCGCTCCTCAGCTGCTGAAGCCACAGAGCGGCCGAGGGGAGAAGAATCTGTACAGCTGCCACTACTATGTACCTGCTTCAGTGATTGGTCTGTTGGCGGCCATCTGCAGCTTCCACCTCCCACTTCAGCTGCTATAGGCTATAGGAGGAAGACTGCAGGATCACAATTGGCCGGCTGGAGACTACTGGAGTGCGGGAACTGAAGAGAAGACACAAGGAGGCGGCTGAAGGATTCATCATAGGGGACGCTGGAAAAATGGCTGCACCCACCACCACCACCTGGAGAGAAAGAGGGCAGAGCACCTGTAAGTTCTTGTTCTTTCTGCGTCACACCCTGACCTCTGCACTGTGCGTCACACCCTGACCTCTGCACTGTGCGTCACACCCTGACCTCTACACTGTGCGTCACACACTGACCTCTGCATTGTGCGTCACACCCTGACATTTGTACTGTGCAAGATTGATTCAGCTGCGTTAGGTCCTGCGCAGCAGCCTTCTGTGGAACCACCCGGCACCTGCTTACAGCGCGTTTGGCGGCCACACATCTCCCCCTCCTGAGACCCTCTGTACCCCTCTGCACAAGACATCAGGCCGGCATTCCAGAGCAGAGAGGCAGAACAGAGTATGTACCAAATTCATATACTATTATTCTGCATTGCTTTATAATGTATTGCTGGGATTTGTAGACTTCTATAGATGATGGCATTGTGCGTTAGAGTTTAAGCTCTTCTGTACAGAGACTGATGTGATTGGCTCAGTGTTCTCTGTACAGTACTACAGTATATGTCAGAGCTATATGAATGTAAAATAATAGTGTGTGACTGTGGGGGGACATTAGAGTGTAAGCTCCTTTAGTGCAGAGACAGCTGGGGGAGTTGGGGGGCCAGTCAGATCCAGTGGGCAGCAGGAAGGGGGGGGGGGCCCGAGAAAAAAATCTTGCACTGGGGCCCTTTGTTTCTTAGGTTCGCCACTGCCACTGGCTATAGGGGTAAGGGGACTACAGAAAAATCCCAGCAATAAATACAGCGATGCAAAATAACACCATCAGCTATACAGGGGATTATTTTGTAGTTCTGTGTAGCTGATTTATTCTGCATCAGTGTGTGTATTGCTAGGACACACCATCCAGGACTACACATTCCAGTCAGGCTGCCAGCAGTATAAACTACAGCAAATTAAGTGACATGCTTTAAGAACAAAATCTTAGAAAACTTCTCCTACTTTTTGATTTGAGGTCTGGCTGCTGAGAGCTTGATTTTCCTTCTTTTGGTGCACAGGTGGCAGCAGTGGTAGGTGCGCAGATGTAAACATGGATCCATCCGCACAGGCAGGGCTCTATGGATCAGGTGACGCAGCTCAGATATTCCTCCGCTGCAGCCCACAGAAGAAAAATAGACCTCCCCCTCCTGCTGTCAGTTCAGCCAGGAGGCCTGGGGGGAGGGGATTCTTTCAGAAATAAATGTAGGGGCACCTGACTGGGGACTGAAAGCTGTTATTTACTGGAGCCCTGACTTTCTTGGAAGGAAAAATTATATATTTTTTTTAACTTTTATTTTCCCCCCAGTTAATAGCAGGTGAGGCTCTGCGTCCCCTGACCGCACGTCACTGGTTATAGAGTACAGACTAGACATGTGCGATTCGTTTTGGAAAAGTTCATTTTTCGGAATACCAGAATCGACAAATGAAAATGAATCCAATTTTCCGAAAATGACATTTCGGACGAAAATCGTTAGCGGTAGTCTGTACCCATTTTCCTTTGTGGACGAATTTTCGTTGCAGCAAAGTGACATTTAAAACAAATATGTATATATTTTTTTTAATGTCACTTTGCTGCAACGAAATGAATAGAGTTCTGAAAATGCTGTTTGCTGATCCATTTATTTCAGTACTTTGAATCTCTACTTGGAAACAGATTTGCTGACAAGAAGTTCTGACTTCACTTGCTGCATGCTTGCTCCAGGTCAGTAACTCAGAATGTATGGAATTCAGAGGATCAGCATGAAGGCCAGGAAACCAGCATTATAAGAAGAAGGTAACCAATGGCAGCCTCTGTATTTCCCCCCCCTGGACTCCCCTTACCAACCTCCCTGACCAGTACAACCCTCATCTGTCACAGAGTATCAAACATCACATGACAACAATCTCTTCTGATACTTTTATTGATACATTTATACAGATATATGGACCGTCACCGAGATTTATGACATATTCTTTATATGATATGGGATGTAAAATACACTGAAAAGAGAAGAAACTGAATCCGATAATAAACCTTCTCAGATTGCGTTCCAGATCTGGTCCAGAAAATGATGTGAACCTGCCCTCATGAAGAAGATGGACGGCATTTATACTTTATATTGAGCTGTGTGTCTGGAGTTCGGATTTGACAAACAGAAAACCTGAAACACAAAGTTCATGTAAAAAGTATCTGATAATGGAATCCAAATCTCCATAAAAAGCCATTTGTGTGACTTTGCTGCGCGGCTCTCGCTCTCTGTTATCTGACATTTTAGGATCAATGAGGGATGAAAGTGACATTTCTCAGGATTCTTCTACAGGAATAATGCGCAGGAAGTCAGATCCGTCACCCACTGTACAATCTTCATTTTATATATAGTCACATCTCATAAATGACTGAAACATGTCAGTATTGATATATGAGCAACAGTATTATAAACAATGTAATAAATGGTCTTATTTATCAAAGTATCAACATAAGTGCGACTGTACAGAAAGAAATGAGACTTAAAGTGAACCATTGGCAGTCAAGTATTCATACGTTCCTAATAAGCAGTAGAGATGTGTGTGGACTTGGTGAGCTCTGAGTTTGCCAGATTTTGCTCACATGCAAACATAACAGAGAGGGACACATTCTCTTCCCAACCCAATCAGCTGCGGCCAGGGCATTCTGCAGCCACGCATATCAAAGGGGTGGGAAATACCCCATCCGTAGCTAATTGATTTAGGAGGGTGATGTGTCACTGACAGATTTGTGTGAGCTCGGGGTGAACTCAATGCACATCAAGCTCACACACATCCCTAATAAGCAGCAGATGAGGTTTACAGCAATCATTAAATGACCTCTGTAACTACAGACACTGGGGAGGAATTCATTCTGAAAGTTCCCAGCAGGACCACTGAAATCCTTCTAAAGGTGCCCATACACTGCACGATTCTCGTACGAGAATCGTGCAGTGTATGGAAGGCGTGCGACCGTTTCTACTGTACGGTCGCACGTCTTCCGTCGAACCAGCATGCTAGAAAACCCGCCAGTGGCCTGCTGGTTCGACAACTGCCAAACGGGCCGGTGTGCGCACGCGCACACTGCCCGTTTGCAGTCATCGTAAGCCCACCCCTCATTACAGTCATCGTAAGCCCGCCCCTCACGGAGGCGGGCTTGCGATGATCGAGAGTACAATCTGCCTGTCCAAGATGGGCAGATCGTACGTTTTTTTAAGTACTTTACAACCATCGCAAGACTATGGTTGTAAAGTGTATGGCCACCTTAAGCCAGATAATTTCATTTTACCTGCTTCCCCTCCCAGCAGTGAGTTGGCAACTTTTCAGCCTTCTAATTGCCAATGTCAATACAGAGCAGGTGTACATGAAGTTGGGAGAGCAGAGTGCTGAGACCAGAATGGAACAATGTCCCTGATTCTCTTGTAAATATTGAGGATGAATTCCTCCATTGTACATGAGGTCAGGGAGTGCTTGTTTAAAAACATGACTGTCCATAGCCTGGCCGCAGGTTCACTTCAAGTGTCTCCCCACACGTCTCTGATCTCTAAACCTAAAATATATCTCAACCCAACACTGGACTCAGTTTGGATAGAGCAGAGAAGGGTCAGGTTTCTATTACTGTCTCAGATTTTCATTTATCACCAGATTCTGCTCAGATTTCCTGTAATATGATCATTTTTTACATCTACTGACACCCCCAGATAACTTTATATGACCTTTCTCCACACATAACACAGCATGAAGAGGCTCAGTGAAGGTGGTGGTGAAGGTGTGTAAGTGTTGGATCGGGTCACACAGATCATAAAAGGACAGCTGTCCGGCCTCATAATCCAGATAGATCCTGACTCTGTCAATGTGGTTATTGTGAGGTATGTGGACCTGTATATTGTCATGAAATAGATAACACCCCCTGTCATACCTGCGCAAACCCCAGGACTTGTTATTCTTTCCAATACATGACTGGTCTCCTCCCCTCTCTATACTGGGATAACACATCCCGACTCTGCAATTTTCTGATTCACTGATATTTACTTCCCAGTAATGTCGCCCTGAGGAGAAACTCTGACTGCTTAATACCTGGAACCAGTACTGAAATCTCTCTGGTGTTTCTGGACGATTCTGCTCTATATCTGACCTGGATACAGTTTTCATGTCCTCTGATATCTGTAGATTATTATGAGCTGTGTTTACATCCAGTACTATATCTGACGCTTCCTGTATATTGAAGCAGACATTTACCCCTTTCATCATATCAGATAACCCCGAGTGTAATGTGTGTGAGATTCCAGCCACATCCAGATCCCCCCCATCATGGAGGAGTTTATCATGTCTCTCTCTGTCCTCATCATCTCCCTCCTCAGTATCACACAAGTCCCCTGTGTCTGATTCCTGTAAGACAGTCAGTGGGTCAGTCATGTTACACATCTCCTCAATGTGATCCATCTTCCTGGACAGCTCGGCCTTCTTTATTTCCAGCTTCTGGATCAGGTCAGACAATGGACGTGAGAGCCGCTCTTCCTGCCTGGAGATCTCCCTCAGGACTCTCTTCTCCAGGTCTTCCAGATGTCTCCTGAGGTCTCTGAACAGGGCAGTGACTCTCTCTGTTACACCGGCTGATTTTTCTTGTACTTTTCCCCTGCGTTCCTGCAGACTCTGGACTCTTTTCTCAGTCTCCTCTCTTTCCGTGATCAGTTTCTGAAGACCAGTTCTCAGTTTCTGTTTCTTCTTCTCAGAGGCCTCATCCAGAGTCTCCACCTTGTGTCCCTGGTGTTCTCCAGCCAAACTGCAGGACACACAGATACAGGCAGCATCTGCAATGCAGTAATATTTAAGTAGTTCTCTATGGACGGAGCATTTTCTGTTCTCCATGGAAGTGGTGGGTTCAGTTAAGACGTGTTCTGGTGACTTCCTGTGGAATCTCAGGTGATCATCACACAGAAAAGCTTCACAATGCAGACAGGCTTTAACAGCAGGTACAGGAGAGTGAATACAGTAAGTACAGAAGATCCCAGTCGTTGTCTTCTCCAGATATGGATGAGTAGACCGGAAATTCTCTGCTATGTTACTCAGTGTTATGTTCCTGTGCAGTACAGGCCGATCCTGAAACTCTTCTCTGCACTCAGGACAGGAATAACCTCCAGACCCGTCCTGTGTATCCAACACACAATCAATACAGACCCGGCAGAAATTGTGTCCACATCTCAGGTTTACAGGATCCGTATAAGTGTTCAGACAGATGGAACAGTCCAGCTCCTGTCTCAGATCAGCAGACGCCATCGCTGACAGCAGAGAAGAGAAACGAAACCAAAATATCTTGGACACGTTGAGGCGGAAGGGCGTTTCATAGCTCTGTGTGCAGGGAGGGGCTGTGCTGCTCTTACAGCTCATATATCTGCAGGAACATTTCACTGACATGAAAGGAGCAGACTACAAATACTAAACATCCAGAAACTTACAAGGAGTCTCAGTTGTTTTACACTGATGCTTGTACATAAAGTATGTGAATCAGATAATTCTTAAAATGTCCAAATGTAACTTTTTTCCTTAGTATTGGAAAGAGTAGAGAAGGATCAGAACCCCTTTAGAGGTTTTTCTGCAATCTGGGGCTCCATTAAAGTGATTTTCCCTCATTTCCTTTCCTGCTGACATTTTACCAGATAGGAAGTGAAGAGAGCTCTGTAACAGCAACCCAGAGAGAAATAAGGTTTCTTTTAATATGGCAGGAAAAGAACTCTGGTATGATTTTAATTCCTGTCTGTGTCCCTGTTGCAGATATTGTCTTCATTCCTGTCTGGAAAAATGTTGCCAGCTGTACAGGAAGTGAGGGGAAATCTCAATAATGGAGTCCCAGATGACAGGGGTTCCATTCCTTTCCAACCCTATCCACAATAAAAAAAAAAGCGCTTTGGCTTGCCATACACAGTAAATAATACCCAGATAGTCCTGGAGCAAAAAGAAAAGAAAAAAATAGGAGGAAGGACTACATGACAGGGTGGACAGGGAACTCGGAAAGTACGGGGTTAAAGTTAGTGTTAAGGGGGGATGGTCACTTACCTGATTGGTCGGTTTCATGAGTTGCAGGAGGGTCTCCTTAGTGGTCTAGAGGGGGACGGAGTAGTACTGGTTCAGTCTGGATTTGCCACACGGCAAGCGAGCTTCACCCCTGCAGCTGCTTTGCTCCTTGTGAAAGAAAACCAGAAAAATTACGGATTTAAGCTAGTTATTAGACCAACTGAAAGCTGCTGCACAATTGAAAGGTCCAAACTGGCTACAGGATCAAGATGCTGCTATCCTGCAGGACGTCCAACAACCAACCGAGCATCGGGCGACACGTGCTAGGAACACGGTGCATCCAGTGGGGCTCAGTGCTGAGTTAGGAGCCCCTCCAGGGACCCTTCAGGTCCACCATCCAAGCGCCCCCTGCGCTGCCGCATTGTGCCCCTGGGAGGAATCCTCGTCACAGGCGGAGCCCCAGGGAGAGGGTTCGCATTCAGCTGCCACCTCGCACCCCCTCCCCCCATCCACTTCACAGGAGCAAGCGGCTGCCTCACCTGGCGATGCTCCTGTCAGTGAGGCAGGTCGGCGAGGGATTAGTGCAGCTGCGGGCACCGGCCAGTCCCGAGGTGCAGCCAGTGGCTCCTCTTCCACACACGAGCAAGGGATACCTTCAGCAGTGTCTGCCCCTGCGGTGGCTCTGCAGAACGGGCACCGCAGAAGACAGCTAAGGAGCAGAGAGGGGTCCTCTCTGACAGGAAGAAGGGGCGGTGACGTCACCGGCAGCCTTGCCGGACCTGCGGCAGCTGTTTCAAGTGTGCCCAGCAGCTCCTTTCACAGGGATCCTTCAGATGTCTGCAGATCAGAGGGGGAGGTGTCTGCCTCTGAAGATGAACAGATGCAGGGACTCTCTACTCAGGATGCTGGACATACGGCTGTTGGGACTTCTCAGTCTCCTCTCTTTCCGTGATCAGTTTCTGAAGACCAGTTCTCAGTTTCTGTTTCTTCTTCTCAGAGGCCTCATCCAGAGTCTCCACCTTGTGTCCCTGGTGTTCTCCAGCCAAACTGCAGGACACACAGATACAGGCAGCATCTGCAATGCAGTAATATTTAAGTAGTTCTCTATGGACGGAGCATTTTCTGTTCTCCATGGAAGTGGTGGGTTCAGTTAAGACGTGTTCTGGTGACTTCCTGTGGAATCTCAGGTGATCATCACACAGAAAAGCTTCACAATGCAGACAGGCTTTAACAGCAGGTACAGGAGAGTGAATACAGTAAGTACAGAAGATCCCAGTCGTTGTCTTCTCCAGATATGGATGAGTAGACCGGAAATTCTCTGCTATGTTACTCAGTGTTATGTTCCTGTGCAGTACAGGCCGATCCTGAAACTCTTCTCTGCACTCAGGACAGGAATAACCTCCAGACCCGTCCTGTGTATCCAACACACAATCAATACAGACCCGGCAGAAATTGTGTCCACATCTCAGGTTTACAGGATCCGTATAAGTGTTCAGACAGATGGAACAGTCCAGCTCCTGTCTCAGATCAGCAGACGCCATCGCTGACAGCAGAGAAGAGAAACGAAACCAAAATATCTTGGACACGTTGAGGCGGAAGGGCGTTTCATAGCTCTGTGTGCAGGGAGGGGCTGTGCTGGTCTTACAGCTCATATATCTGCAGGAACAATTCACTGACATTAAAGGAGCAGACTACAAATACTAAACATCCAGAAACTTACAAGGAGTCTCAGTTGTTTTACACTGATGCTTGTACATAAAGTATGTGAATCAGATAATTCTTAAAATGTCCAAATGTAACTTTTTTCCTTAGTATTGGAAAGAGTAGAGAAGGATCAGAACCCCTTTAGAGGTTTTTCTGCAATCCGGGGGTCCATTTAAAGTGATTTTCCCTCATTTCCTTTCCTGCTGACATTTTACCAGACAGGAAGTGAAGAGAGCTCTGTAACAGCAACCCAGAGAGAAATAAGGTTTCTTTTAATATGGCAGGAAAAGAACTCTGGTATGATTTTAATTCCTGTCTGTGTCCCTGTTGCAGATATTGTCTTCATTCCTGTCTGGAAAAATGTTGCCAGCTGTACAGGAAGTGAGGGGAAATCTCAATAATGGAGTCCCAGATGACAGGGGTTCCATTCCTTTCCAACCCTATCCACAATAAAAAAAAAAGCGCTTTGGCTTGCCATACACAGTAAATAATACCCAGATAGTCCTGGAGCAAAAAGAAAAGAAAAAAATAGGAGGAAGGACTACATGACAGGGTGGACAGGGAACTCGGAAAGTACGGGGTTAAAGTTAGTGTTAAGGGGGGATGGTCACTTACCTGATTGGTCGGTTTCATGAGTTGCAGGAGGGTCTCCTTAGTGGTCTAGAGGGGGACGGAGTAGTACTGGTTCAGTCTGGATTTGCCACACGGCAAGCGAGCTTCACCCCTGCAGCTGCTTTGCTCCTTGTGAAAGAAAACCAGAAAAATTACGGATTTAAGCTAGTTATTAGACCAACTGAAAGCTGCTGCACAATTGAAAGGTCCAAACTGGCTACAGGATCAAGATGCTGCTATCCTGCAGGACGTCCAACAACCAACCGAGCATCGGGCGACACGTGCTAGGAACACGGTGCATCCAGTGGGGCTCAGTGCTGAGTTAGGAGCCCCTCCAGGGACCCTTCAGGTCCACCATCCAAGCGCCCCCTGCGCTGCCGCATTGTGCCCCTGGGAGGAATCCTCGTCACAGGCGGAGCCCCAGGGAGAGGGTTCGCATTCAGCTGCCACCTCGCACCCCCTCCCCCCATCCACTTCACAGGAGCAAGCGGCTGCCTCACCTGGCGATGCTCCTGTCAGTGAGGCAGGTCGGCGAGGGATTAGTGCAGCTGCGGGCACCGGCCAGTCCCGAGGTGCAGCCAGTGGCTCCTCTTCCACACACGAGCAAGGGATGCCTTCAGCAATGTCTGCCCCTGCGGTGGCTCTGCAGAACGGGCACCGCAGAAGACAGCTAAGGAGCAGAGAGGGGTCCTCTCTGACAGGAAGAAGGGGCGGTGACGTCACCGGCAGCCTTGCCGGACCTGCGGCAGCTGTTTCAAGTGTGCCCAGCAGCTCCTTTCACAGGGATCCTTCAGATGTCTGCAGATCAGAGGGGGAGGTGTCTGCCGCCAAAGATGAACAGATGCAGGGACTCTCTACTCAGGATGCTGGACATACGGCTGTTGGGACTGCTCCTAGTCAGCCAGGTGAGAACCTTTCTTCTTCCCTACACACTGCTTTGGGGGAATTGTTTAGTGGGGTTCATGAGGGTCTTGCGTCCCGGGACCAGGTGGGTGGTCAGCAGGATGTGTCATCATTAGGAGCTGTCGCTTCAGTTAATGCCAGGGGTGTTCCAAAACCTGTCCACGGCTGAGGTCGTTATACCCGTTCCCGCCGCCGGCAGAGTCGCATGCTGTTCAGACTGGGACTGCGGTGGACCCTGCAGATGCCACATCATCGCGGGAGCTTACAGGTAAGGAGTCCCAGGTTGTCACAAAAACAACAGAAAATCAGTAGATACTATTCGTCTAGCAGACTCGGCGCGGTGCGAGGTATATGTGTGTTTTGAGGGTCCTTTGGGTTGTCACCTTAAAAGCACCATGGGGGAGCTTGTAAGCCCCCCCCCCATGTGATAGCAGTCAAAAAATTAAAAGTCCCCCGCCCCCATTCAGCACGCGCGTCGCCACGTAAACACGCGTCGGGTGCGCCTACGTATGAAAACGACGAACACGCTACACATGTTGGGTATCGCCGCGCACGCCGGAGTGAGAGCAATAATTCTAGGGCCAGTATTTTGGGGTATCTCTAAATTGATGACCTGTGGGGGCTTTTAAAGTGTCTTTTATTGACTTTTTGGGGTACTGCAGTTTTTCGCCGTTTCACGGTCGCACGCAATCTGTAAACTGGGCATGTTGGGTATCGTTTTACTCGTTGTAACCTCATCCTTTATATTTCATAAAAAAATGGGTATTTTGTTGTGTTTTGGGGCATTTAATTAAATTTTTCACTAAATATTGGGGTTTAATAAGGAGTTGCGCTAATATTGCGCAACATAAAAATTTGCAACTACCACCATTTTATTCTATAGGGTCTTGGCATTCAGAAAATATATAATGTTGTGGGGTTTAAGTAATTTTCAGGCCTAAAATGTGGAATATAACATGGGTACAAAAAATTAAAAAAAGGCCTCATGAAGGGGTTAAGGTTGTTGGAGCGCTGACAGCCTGCCTGTCTTGCAGGCTGAGGCTGGGGAATTTTTGTGTTTTGTATTGTTGTAAGTCTTCCCAATGTGCGCCCTGCTATAAAGGCCGGTTATAGATTCATGCATGTACCATTTTTTTCTAGTTTGACTATTTTTGGTTTGGGGGACGCACTGGAGTCCCAGCGTGCATTTTTGGTTGCTGGGCCTCCAGTGCGTCCCTGCACCTTATTAGGAGGAGTTGGCTACCTCCAGGTACACCTGCATGTAATTTATCAACTTCATTAATATGCTCACACTTGGAGACTCGGATACATAGAGTTAGGACCACACTTTGCAGAGGTGCCTTGGTGCGGCGGTGTGGCTTCTACATATTTTTGGCCAAAAGTTTGTGCAACTAAAACCTCTGATTTTAATGCATACTGTTGACAGGGCTACTTGTTTGGTTGCAGGCTAGCTGGCAGGCTGAGGCTGGGGAATTTTTGTGTTTTGTATTGTTGGAGCGCTGAGTCTTGGGCCAAGGAATGGGCGGATGCGGGGTTATTGCGTAACTTAGCTTTGCTGGAGCTATTTCCCGTGGTGCTGGCTGTCGATATCTGGGGCCCTTTCTTTAGGAACAAAAAGGTACGATTCAATTGCGACAACTTAGGAGTAGCGCTAGCAATTAACAGGGTGTCGGCCTCCTCACCTCCGGTGATTAGGTTGTTACATTACTTAGTATTGCGTTGCTTGCAGCTCAATGCTTTTATTTATGCCGTACATTTGCCTGGAGCTTCCAATACCTTAGCCGATGCCTTATCTTGTTTTCAGTGGGACAAGTTCCGAGTGTTGGTGCCGGATGCGGAGCAATGCGGGGTTTCTTGTTCCAGTCATCTGTGGAAGCTTCCATTGGAGTCATCGCTGGATTGCTTCGTAAGTCACTGAGCCCATCTACGTGGACGGCATATGTCAAGGTATGTTTGCAATGGTTCCAGTGGCTGGGAGTTACTCCCGGGGGGTCAGTTTCTGAGCTGAGTACTGATATGGTACTTCAATTTATTGTTAGTAATTAATCGCAGGGTGCATCCGCTGCTTCTTTACAGCACAAGCTATCTGGTTTGGCTTTTATTTTTAAGCTATTAGGTTACCGGGATTGTACAAAAAATTTCTAGTCTGTCAGGTGATGAAGGGTTATAGAAAAGATCACAAGCGCCGTGACGGGCGGCGTCCTATCACCTTTGCTATTCTTTGTGATCTGTTGGCCCAGCTTCCGCAGTACTGTTCCTCTCGTTATGAGGTGCTTCTATTTAGGGTTGCAATTTTTCGTCCCACTCTTTTCGCATTGGTGCGGCCAACGAAGCCGCACAATGGGATTTAGGTGAAGAAATTTTAAAGCGTATAGGGAGGTGGGAGTCTTCCAGATATCGTTTGTATGTGCGCCCCCATTTGTTGTGACTAGTTAGTATAGTTGTATTTACGTGTTACACTGTTTTTTCTCTGGCGTTTCCTGGATTTTACTATATTCTCTTGTTGTTATTGTTTCTTTTTCTAGATTCCAGTCCTTGCCTCATGTGGATTTTGGGCCATTCTTATGTCTTTTGGGGTGCCAAACGGGCAGATGTTCGTCCAGACGGCAGACAGCTGGGCATACCTAGAAGCATTGCCGAGGTGCGCTGGATAGGCGTGCCAGGTATGTTATGGAGCAGAGTGGTCCCGAGGTACATTGATTTTCCAGGTAGGATAGGGTACCGGATATCTTGCTCCTGCATCTGAGGAGTAACGATCTCGGACTCCGTTCCATGCGGGAGCTTATCCGGGACATTAAATTTGATTTTCTTGCGCCTCCGGTCATCTTTCTCTGACACCTTGATAGTGTGGTCGGAAATTGTGGCGCGGACTTCTTGGCGTCTGGCCTGGTCAGTCGACCGCTTAAACAAAGCAAAAATCAAGGTTAACAGGGAGGTTTGCTGTCAGGAATGGGGGGTCGGTGGTTCGTCACCTGGAATTAGAACAAAATACCTGGCAATACTTACGAGGTGATGGTGTTCACCTTAACGCCATTGGTAGGGATATGTGGTCCCTGGCTCTCTAGGAGGGCATCCACAGAGCATTGCGGGTGTGGATTACATGACAGGGTGGACAGGGAACTTGGAAGTACGGGGTTAAAGTTAGTGTTAAGGGAGGATGGTCACTTACCTGATTGGTCGGTTTCATGAGTTGCAGGAGGGTCTCCCTAGTGGTCTAGAGGGGGGCGGAGTAGTACTGGTTCAGTCTGGATTTGCCACACGGCAAGCGAGCTTCCCGCCCCTTTTTTCTTTCTCTCGCACTAATTGTCCTGAGGTCTGTGTTGGAGGTGTTTTGGTTGAGTCATTTTGGTGGTTACGGGGACTCGTCTCAGGTGCGTAGTCCTTGGTGGATTCTTCAGTAAAGAGGTCTAAGACTTTTTACAAGGTCTCTGCAAGTTCTCATATTTGTCCCTGAGTCGGTGTGTTGCGGCTAGGGACCAGTGTTTAAGTGTTTCTAGAGACCAACAATCTCAGTAAAAAGGTGCCTTCACAGACCTTATATAATTTTTTTTTTTTATATTGATTGTTTGTATATATATATTGATTGTTTGTTATAAGTGATTGTGTTATTTATACACACCCTGTTTGACTTGAAATTTGTAATAAAAGGCTGCTACAGCCATTTAACTCCAATCTCGAGTGTGGTGTCTTAATGGGGAGGTTGGGATTATTGGAGGGTGGTGGCATAGCAGTGTGGGAGTTTGGGTGTAAAATTGTTATGGGACTATGTTCTACCTTGTCATGCAGCTTTTCCCAGTTGTTATATGTTTTGCTCCATTTTCTTTTATACTTCAGTTTTTATAATACGTCTTTACACAGAATACACACGGAGTGAATGACCATTGACATGCGTATGTATTGTTCTTATTTGTTGCTGTGTCTGGGTGAAAATACTTTGTAATGTTATAGAGCTCTGGAGGAAATCATCTCCTGCAGGAAAGTGTAGTATAGATGAAGTATGAAGGTCTCGGGGGGATTATATTAAGAAGATGTTAACGTAAATCTAAAGCCAATCACTAAGGGCCGCACACACCACAATGCACAAAACAATGCAGCGAAAATGCATGTGCTTACCTGTATTGGCATGCATTTTGTAATGCATTGTGTTGTGTTTTGGCATGCATTGCAGCACATGTTGTATATGAGTACATTCTTTTTTTCACCTAAATTCCCTTTTTGTATTGAGTTCACATGCATTGCGTTTATACTTCACATTGCAAAAGAGCCTGCTCTACTTTTTTCAAATGTATATCAGTGTGTAGCCCCTATATATAAATTGCTACAGAAATAGCTAGCATTCTGCTTGTAAATAGTTACCTGACCTTGCACAGCCTGTGATGCAGAGACTTGAGGGAGTTGCAGTGCAGAGCCTGGAACAAGCCGTGCTGTGTGTGACAGTTGAGACTGCAATTCTGTGATTTTAGCGACTCTGTGATTTTAGGTGGAGGGGCGATTCTGGGCTGAGGTTCCTGAGCGGGCTGAGTCCAGGAAAACCCTGATGCAGAGGAGCCAGAGATCCTGTGTGAGCCTATCTATGGGAGTGTGAGTGAACTGGAGATTAATCAGATAGAGAGACTTCCTTCTAGTTTGTGGCAATCAGTGTCATTTGGACAATCGTTCTGTGGGGCGCAACCTCACCCACACAGCTGGGTTTGGCATCTTATGTCCGGTTTTCAGGCCACCTCAGCCCCGGACACAAGAGGTCACAATTTCAAGGTCCTGGAGACGAATGTATGAAGGAGGACCATCTGCTATGTGAGCACAGTCCCGGCTGAGCATGCTGCTGTCTGTGCGGCTACAGGTACGCAGCTCCACCGGGTACGCAGGGCCCCCCCGCAGCTCCATCGGGACCAGGAGGCAGTGCTGTGACAGTTCACACACCATCGAGGCCACTGTCTGTTCAACACTCACACACTAGAGCTGACACTTCTGTGTTATCAGAGGTAGATGTAGCCTCTCCCCAAGGAGCAGAGTCTGCTGACCTCCCAGTCTTTATTATTGCCTTGAGCAATGGCGGAACTACCAGGGTCGCAACAGTCGCAATTGCGACCGGGCCCTGGCGTTTCGCCTGTTGGGGGCCCAGAGAGGAAGAAGAGGGCCCCCCGAGATAGTGCCGCTCCTTCCTCGCCGCTCTGCCACCTGCAGCATGTATTGGCGGCTGTGCAGGGCTGGAGAGGATGTCACTTGTCCAGCAGAATGTGCTGCAGGCATCGCCGGGCTGCACATTCTGCTGTGTGGGAGAGGAACCTCTCCACCTAGTCCCGCCCCCTGGCCTGTGAGACACAGAAGAAGGTGCTGGTAAGGTGCTGGAAGTCAGCTCAGTAAGTCTGGACCGGGAAGGGGGGGCGCAGGGACAGGGTAGGGGGGTGGGACTTGTAGTCCTGCATATCTGTGCCCCGATACCAAGCGCAGATACTGGTGTTCTGTCGAGAACGCTGCCATTGTCAAATTTGCCGACCGCAGCATCTGCGCTTGCGCACAGACCAGTATTATCGAGGAAACCGGGATTTATTGACAAAGTATTTCGTTTAAATCGTTAATTGTGACCAATAATAATATTCTGTCCATTTCCTGCCACCCATCGTTTGCTGCCATGGACGGCATGTTATTAACGGCCACAATTAACCATTACAAAATAATACTTTGTAAATAAATGCCGGTTTCCTCTGGGTTGGCGTTCTCGACAGAACACCGCCACTAAATTGTTAAACTGAAGCAGCTGCCTGAGGTCCCGCGCTTGCTGGGGACCTCGGCAGCCTTCCTGTTAACCGTGCGGTGCCATGGCGGTGGTGGATTGGGGGGGGGCCTTCATGGTTTCTTGCACCGGGCCCTGAAGGTTCTAGTTATGCCTCTGGCCTTGAGCAAAGAATGATGGAACTTGTCTGGCAGCTCTCTGGTTATGGTCCCTGGTATTGCCCCACTAGTGACAGCTGAGAAGCAGGAAACAGGTACACATGCATTGAAAGTTGTAGGTGTAGCTAAAACCTGGCCAAAAGTAGGGATAGATGTCAGCCAGCCAACGGTGCTAGGTGTGTGCATAGACACAGCATATACGACCCGAGGAAGACACCAGTAAGGTAACTGGTGAGGAACCCCACATATCAGCGGCCTCTAATGGGAGGTAAGTAAGCGAGTGCCTTCAGTTTGTTGCAGTTTTAGTGGATAAACAATGACGGTAACCCTATTTTTGTCCTAAAATCTGACTGGCTTAAAGGAGATGAATCACCAAGGGTAGCAAATCATGATACATCTTCCCATTTCATCCTATATTTTCCATCTTCTCTCTGCCAGTATATAAATGTGAAAGTGAGCTTTCTTTTGGTGGTATTTAATCACCACTGGGGGTTTTATATTTTTACTATATTCAGGATAAATTACTGAAAATTTCTCCTGAATATAGTTTTTTTTTACATTATGTTATAAAACAACTAATATTACCCACTTTTTTGGTAAAATATAAAAGACGGGGTCACGTCAGGTAAATAGACACTCGCGAAATCGCAAAAAACTAGCATACCCAAAATTGCCATAGGCGTCCCTTTAAAAGCTTTTACAGCTCATCAGTTTCGTGTTATCAGTGATTAATGGCCCTAAAATTATTGCTCTCACTGAGACATTCGCGGCGATATGTAACATGTGCGGCATAATGGGCGCAATCGTCGTTTTTGCAGGTATGCGCACCTGAAGTATCTTTACATGCGTGTATTTAGGGGTGGGGACTTTAAAAAAAAAAAAAATTGGGGAGACTACATTTTTTTTCCTGTTTTTTTTCCACTTAACTTCATTGCTATCACAGAGGGGGCTAAGAAACCTCTATATGTGATAGCAAAAGATGTGGCAGGTCCTCTTTATGGAGATATCAGGGGTCTCCAAGACCCCTAATGTCACCTAAGACCCCCCTGAAGAAGCTGATGAAGCACCGATCTGCTTCATCAGCTTCTCTCCAGCATCTGAAGCTGGAGAGTGACACAAGAATGCTGAAGTGATGTATTATACACCACTTCCACATTCTGACAGCAGAGAGGGGACTGGAGGAAGATCGTGAACCAACCTCCCTCTGATCCCCTGGTTGTGATCCAACGGCTCTATAGCCGGCGGATCGCTTGTATGTTGACAGGCATCGCTGCCGGTTTTTAAATTGTGTCTTTCCCGCTCGTGCGCGCCGCGCAGGACGTGTATACACGCCCAGTTACATCCAAGAAGCTCCCGGCCGGCCGTGTATACACAACAGCCGGCCGGGAGGTAGTTAATAAGCAGTAGAGATGTGTGTGGACTTGGTGAGCTCTGAGTTTGCCAGATTTTGCTCACATGCAAACATAACTGAGAGGGACACATTCTCTTCACAACCCAATCAGCTGCGGCCAGGACATTCTTCAGCTACGCATATCAAAGGGGTGGGAAATATCCCGTCGGTAGCTGATTGATTTAGGAGGGTGATGTCTCACTGACAGATTTGTGTGAGCTCGGGTGAACTCAATGCACATCAAGCTCACACACATCCCTAATAAGCAGCAGATGAGGTTTACAGCAATCATTAAATGACCTCTGTAACTACAGACACTGGGGAGGAATTAATTCTGAAAGTTCCCAGCAGGAGCACTGAAATCCTTCTAAGCCAGATAATTTCATTTTACCTGCTCCCCCTCCCAGCAGTGATTTGGCAACTTTTCATCCTTTTAATTGCCAATGTATATGCAGAGGAGGTGTACATGAAGAGGGGAGAGCAGAGTGCTGAGACCAGACTGGAACAATGTCACTGATTCTCTTGTGAACTTTGAGGATGAATTCCTCCATTGTACATGAGGTCAGGGAGTGCTTGTGTAAAGACTTAACTGTCCATAGCCTGGCCGCAGGTTCACTTCAAGTGTCTCCCCACACGTCTCTGATCTCTAAACCTAAAATGTATCTAAACCCAACACTGGTCTCAGTTTGTATAGAGCAGAGAAGGGTTGGATCCCTTGTTGGGTTTCTATTACTGTCTGCCACCCCTGGGGAGATTCTCCCTCTCTAATTCTCTGGTGACCATTGTAACCAAACAGAACATTAAATGGAAAGCAAACATTTTGATTGGAAGAGGAGATGAGGGGAAATCTTCCGATGGGGTCACGGGTTCTAGTGACAGCTGTCTAAAAGGTGAATTCCTCTGACCTCGGCGAGATTTCCTCTCACTTCCGGTGTCTCATGGGAAATGGAAGTGGAGGGGAATCTCCTTGATGGGACACAGTCAGTACATAAAAAACTGACAGGGGTTCTAACCCTTTCCTTCTATACCAAAACTAAAAAATCTACTTTAACCAAATCATGTAAATCAACCATTGAAATACCAAACCCAACACCTCTTATCCTCACCACAAGCAGAAACCTTCAACACTTCAAATTTATACCTAACACCTTGTCCCTCCAATGTGATCACTTCACTCTTTATACTGCAACTATAACCTGAACCCCTAAACATGACAGAACCCCTAACACTAAAAGAACCCCCTAAAACCCCTCACTTGTCACATTGGTTGTGGAAGTGATGAAAACACTCTCCTGTGCTGAGATCTATCAGGAAATATTTTAGCTGCACAAACGGCATCATCCTATGAACCAGATTCTCATTTATCACCAAATTTCTCCAGATTCTGCTCAGATATCCGGTAATATGATCATTTTATACATCTCCTGACACCCCCAGATATCTTTACATGACCTTTCATTACCCATAATCCAGCATGAAGGGGCTCAGTGAAGGTGGTGGTGAAGGTGTGTAAGTGTCGGATCGGGTCACACAGATCATAAAAGGACAGCTGTCCGGCCTCATAATCCAGATAGATCCTGACTCTGTCAATGGGGTTATCGTGAGGTATGTAACCCGACATCTTGTCATTTACTTTAACCAAATCATGTAAATCAACCATTGAAATACCAAACCCAACACCTCTTATCCTCACCACAAGCAGAAACCTTCAACACTTCAAATTTATACCTAACACCTTGTCCCTCCAATGTGATCACTTCACTCTTTATACTGCAACTATAACCTGAACCCCTAAACATGACAGAACCCCTAACACTAAAATAACCCCCTAAAACCCCTCACTTGTCACATTGGTTGTGGAAGTGATGAAAACACTCTCCTGTGCTGAGATCTATCAGGAAATATTTTAGCTGCACAAACGGCATCATCCTATGAACCAGATTCTCATTTATCACCAAATTTCACCAGATTCTGCTCAGATATCCGGTAATATGATCATTTTATACATCTCCTGACACCCCCAGATATCTTTACACGACCTTTCATTACCCATAATCCAGCATGAAGGGGCTCAGTGAAGGTGGTGGTGAAGGTGTGTAAGTGTCGGATCGGGTCACACAGATCATAAAAGGACAGCTGTCCGGCCTCATAATCCAGATAGATCCTGACTCTGTCAATGGGGTTATCGTGAGGTATGTAACCCGACATCTTGTCATATTTTAGATAACACCCATTGTCATAACTGTAGAAACCCCAGGACTTGTTATTCCTTCCAATCTCTGACTGGTCTCCTCTCCTCTCTATACTGGGATAACACATCCCGACTGCACAGTTTTCTGATTCACTGACATCCACTTCCCAGTAATGTCGCCCTGAGTCGAAACTCTGACTGCTTAATACCTGGGACCAGAACTGAAATCTCTCCGGTGTTTCTGCCTTATAAATGATGCTTGTACATAAAGTATGTGAATCAGATAATTCTTAAAATGTCCAAATGCAATTTTTTTCCTTAGTATTGGAAAGAGTAGAGAAGGATCAGAACCCCTTTAGAGGTTTTTCTGCAATCTGGGGCTCCATTAAAGTGATTTTCCCTCATTTCCTTTCCTGCTGACATTTTACCAGATAGGAAGTGAAGAGAGCTCTGTAACAGCAACCCAGAGAGAAATAATGTTTCTTTAATATAGAAGGAAAAGAACTCCGGTACAATTTTAATTCCTGTCTGTGTCCCTGTTGCAGATTTTGTCTTCATTCCTGTCTGGAAAAAATGTTGCCAGCTGTACAGGAAATTAGGGGAAATCTCAATAATGGAGTCCCAGATGACAGGGACAGATATTTTCCAACCCTGTCCTGGCACGGGGAAGTGTGTGTGTTGGGGGGGGGGATGCTGGTGACATTCTGTATTGCTGACTTTTATTATAATGTATTGCTGGGACTTGTAGTCCCGCATAGCTGGTAGTATTCTGAATTGCAGTATGATGATTCTACCGCAATGCAGAATAGCTCCAACTATGTAGGACTGCAATACCCAGCAATGCATTATATTTTTAAGTAGGGATACACCACTGCCAGTGCCAGTGAGTACTCGTGAAAATGCCCCGATACTAAGCACAGATACCAGTGTTCTGTCAAGAACGCAGACGTAATCGAATTTGCTGACCTCAGCATCTGCTCTTGCGCACAGACCAGTATTATCGAGGAAACCGGCGTATATTTAAAAAGTATTTAGTCTAAATCGTTAATTGTGACCGTTAATAATATTCCATCCTTCATTTACTGCCATGGACGGTATATTATTAACGATTTAAACGAAATACTTTGTAAATAAATGCCGGTTTCCTTGTTAATCCCGTCTGCACGTAAGCGCAGATACTGGGTCGGCGTTTTCGACAGAACACCGCACTAAAATTTTAAACTAGCGGCTGCCTGTATTCCCGCGCTTGCTGGGGACCTCGGCAGCCTTCCTGTTAACCATGCGGTGCCATGGCGGTTGGGGGGGACCCTTCATGTTTCTTGCACTGGGGCACTGAGGGTTCTATTTACGCTTCTGGTGAGTGCCTTCAGTTTGTTGCAGTTTTAGTGGATAAACAATGACGGTAACCCTATTTTTGTCCAAAAACCTGACTGGCTTAAAGAAGATGAATCACCAAGGGTAGCAAATCATGATACATCTTCCCATTTCATCCTATATTTTCCATCTTCTCTCTGCCAGTATATAAATGTGTATGAGCCCCATTTTTCTCACCCCCCAAAAAAATCTAGTTTGATTTTTTTACAGATGCGGCTGCCTGAGGTCCCCAGCAAGCTATGACCTCAGGCAGCTGCATCTGCCTGAATCGTCATCTTGTGAGCCGGGCGCCTGTAAACAGGCACAGGCTGGCCCGCACATCTTCTCATCCTTCCCTGGCCCTTCCTGATAGCATGCTGCCTGCCTCCAGACCCCTGGTGAGACCCCCGCACTTCCCACACAGCCACCTGAGAGCTCGCATATCTCACCTGAGAGTCCGTACAGCCACCTGAGAGCCCATGGAGTCTACCTGAAAGCCCACATAGGCCACATGAAACCCTTGAGACATCAGGGCACCACCTGAGAAAAACACAGAGTATGTAGCTTCATATTATTTTGTATTGCTGTATAATGTATTGCTGGTATTTGTAGTCCTCTATAGCCGGTCTCCTTACTCCCTCCACTGGCTGTCTCTTCTTACTCTTTATCCTGGCTTCCTCTCCTCGCTCTCTCCTATATATTCTCCACAAAAAAAAAAGTGTTTGGGTTTCGCTTGAAGAAAAGGTGGCAACCCTAGTACAGAGAGAGCTCCATAGAGGCCTAGAGGTGTTCTCAGAGAGCATTCTCGGGCATCTTCCTGTGACCAGAGAACATCTTCAGGGTACAGCAGATGACTTCAGGACCAGCAAGGGTGTCAGGTTGAGGGAAAGGAGACGCCCGTCTCTCGATGACGGACATCACAGCTGCAAGATTGAATCTGGAAGTGGTGAGAGGCCTCTGGACAATTGTGTTACTTCTGCAATTCTATTCAGCTCACAGTATGGGCCCCAACAATGGCTAACCTAGACTATTGCTGCTGGGCAGTAGTATAGAGAGCTGGAGATCAATTGGGACTGAGACTTTAGCAATCAGGTATTTAAAGTCAAAGATGGCAACTGAGATAGTTAAGTATTGCATATTTCATTATATAGATAGCTGCGGCTGCTGAGGGTCTGAATACCCAATGTATATTGCTGATAGTTTTTTCTTTCAATGATTGTGTCTCCTTTATGTAATGCTTAACAAATATATACCAGATGCTTAGTAAAGCTGTTACAAAACTCTCTAAGGTGTGTCGTTGTGCTGTGGATCCTGTTTGGGCGGCACATTTGGGCTTAGGGACAGAAATACCCGGGTTATTCTGGCGGCTCCTTCGGGGGTGAGCGCTACAAGTGCAACACAATGATGTGAACTACACTCACTGCAGATCATTTGTTTTTATTGTCTATGTGTTTGGAATGCGTTTATGAACATATCCAAACACATGTGATGTGAACGGGCCATAAAAGCTCAAATTTGATACATGAAAGTCATTTTTTAAATTTGCAGCTTTCCCATAAATGATCCCTGGTGACCCCATAATTAAAGTCCTTGTTCAGTCACTTCCTGTTAAAGGGTGACAACTGCCTCCTAACTGAGCTGCTGCTTTGTCACCCCGTCTCATGTGCTCCTGGTGCGGGCTACAAGTGGCCATGCCTACACACGTTGGGTGGACATGGTCCTCCATTGTCACTATCAGGAAGCCGGTCCAGAGCAATGATGTGCTGCTGATGTTGGAGCATGTGCATGTAGACAGGAAGTGGCTGAGAGAGGCTGCAGGAGATCAGAAGCACTGAGACTGGAAAAAGGTGAAAAACTGGATTTTTGAAGAATACAATGGAGATTGTTTATGACACACAGTGCTGAGGACAAACTAAATGTCATCCAGAGAGAGTTTACATCTACTTTATACCCGCCCCCCACCAGTTACACACGTTACAATCTGATACTCACATTCATTGTACAATCTGTATGTAGTGATGAGATTAGTTTTATTCTTATAGAATTTTAAAGCAAACACGCTGAGAGAAATGGAAGTCATCACTGAGAGAGAATGCTGTGAAAATGCTGTTTGCTGATCCATTTATTTCAGTACTTTGAATCTCTACTCGGGAACAGATTTGCCATTCACACAGATCATAAAAGGACAGCTGTCCGGCCTCATAATCCAGATAGATCCTGACTCTGTCAAAGGGGTTATTGTGAGATATGTGGATCAGTATATTGTCATGTAATAGATAAAACCCCCTGACATGCCTGTACAACCCCCAAGACTTGTTATTCCTTCCAATCCCTGACTTCATTCCTCCCCTCTCTATACTGGGATAACACATCCCGACTGCACAGTTTTCTGATTCACTGACATCCACTTCCCAGTAATGTCGCCCTGAGTCGAAACTCTGACTGCTTAATACCTGGGACCAGAACTGAAATCTCTCCGGTGTTTCTGGACGATTCTGCCTTATATCTGACCTGGATACAGTTTTCATGTCCTCTGATATCTGTAGATTATTATGAGCTGTGTTTACATCCAGTACTATATCTGAAGCTTCCTGTATAATGAAGCAGACATTTACCCCTTTCATCATATCAGATAACCCCGAGTGTAATGTGTGTGAGAGTCCAGCCACATCCAGATCCCCCCCATCATGGAGGAGTTTATCATGTCTCTCTCTGTCCTCATCATCTCCCTCCTCAGTATCACACAAGTCCCCTGTGTCTGATTCCTGTAAGACAGTCAGTGGGTCAGTCATGTTACACATCTCCTCAATGTGACCCATCTTCCTGGACAGCTCCGCCTTCTTTATTTCCAGCTTCTGGATCAGGTTAGGATGTGAGAGCCGCTCTTCCTGCCTGGAGATCTCCCTCAGGACTCTCTTCTCCAGGTCTTCCGGATGTCTCCTGAGGTCTCTGAAGAGGGCAGTGACTCTCTCTGTTACACCAGCTTCTTTTTCTTGTAATTTTCCCTTACGTTCCTGCAGACTCTGAATTTTTTTCTCAGTCTCCTCTCTCTCTGTGATCAGTTTTTGCAGAAGATTGCTGAGCTTCTGTTTCTTCCTCTCAGAGGCCTCATCCAGAGTCTCCACCTTGTGTCCCTGGTGTTCTCCATCCAGCCTGCAGGACACACAGATACAGGCAGCATCAGCAATGCAGTAATACGCCAGGATCTTCCTATGGATGGAGCATTTTCTCTTCTCCATGGAAGTGGTGGGTTCAGTTAAGACGTGTTCTGGTGACTTGCTGTGGACTCTCCGGTGATTATCACACAGAGAAGCTTCACATAGCAGACAGGATTTAACAGCAGGTACAGGAGAGTGAATACAGTAAGTACAGAAGATCCCAGTCTTCTCCTGATCTGGTTGAGTAGATCGGAAAGTCTCCGCTATGTTACGCAGTGTTATGTTTCTCTGCAGTACAGGCCGATCCTGAAACTCTTCTCTGCACTCAGGACAGGAATAACCTTCAGACCCCTCCTGTGTATCCAACACACAATCAATACAGACCCGGCAGAAGTTGTGTCCACATCTCAGGTTTACAGGATCTGTATAAGTGCTCAGACAGATGAAACAGTCCAGCTCCTGTCTCAGATCAGCAGATGCCATTGCTGACAGCAGAAGAGAGAAATGAAAGTCAAAGTATCGGACACGTCTCACATTTTTCTGCACAGGGAGAGGCTGAACTGGTCTTACAACTTCTATCTGCAGGAAGTATGTGAATAAAACTGAATCTCTATAAGTTGAAGTGTTCGTTCACATCTTTTAAAAAGAGACAAAATACAACACTGAGTAAGCGCATGAAGTTCAAATAGCAGTTTACATGTTATTTTGTTTAGGGTGTTACATGTGTTTCATATATTCTCTATAAGGCCTCATTCAGACAGGGCGTGCACGTCCATGCGGCGTGCATGCCTGTAAATGTGCGAATCCCGGGAGGGACAGGTGCTTCCGCACGGATGTGTACGCCCATCTGAATGAGGCCAAAATTATAAATTTTTCAATCTTAAAGGACAACTTAATTTTTAGTTCAGCTTCCTCTCATTCACTATCCGATGCTCCAGGTTATGGGGGGCCCTTGTGTTCCTTCCATACAATGCAGGACTGCTGGTCCTGCATTGTACGTGATGATGTCAGAGAGCTGTGTCCATCCAGGCAGCAAAAGGAAACAACTTCACGGGACTAGTCACACAGAGAGGATGAATCCTCCAGGAGTGAGCTACAATTTAAGCATTTGTACATATTCCCCCCTAGCCAAACAAATATGTAACCTATGCAGGTGGGGAGGCCGCGGGGAGATATTTAAAAGCAGATAAATGTCCTCCCTACCCGAGTGCAGGCCACCTTGTAAAATACTTGTAAATACAGTTCTAGGCTGGGTGATAGGTTGGGCCCCCCGTTTCTGTAT